AGGGTGGGGCTAGGAAGCAGTGAAAGAAAGAGGGCTGGGGTAGGGACCTTGGAGGCCACTGGAGGTTTCCTGAGAGTTCTCTGTTTTTAATCAGGTGGAAGAGGCCACCTGATTGTCCCTCCTAAACCCAGTGCACCACCAGGCAGGGTCTGCGATTGGGGGTAGGCTGGCAGAGAATCCAGAAAAAGATTGCTGATAAGAGCCTAAGCCAGGACTCCTTTGTGGGTTCTGCAGAAGCACAGGGGATCATTCGGTGTGACTCACCAAACCCTCGGTCAGCATCGCAAGTCCTGAGTAGGCAGCAGCAGGAGTGCATTTTCCTGAAATCTAAAAGAGGGAAGTAAATAGGGCCTTGAGGAAGGTATGTTTGGGTTTGAGAGCAGAGAATTTTGAAACTAGGAGCAAAGTGATGTCTCAGCCATACTGGTCCCATCTTCTTTCAAGCTGGGGGCCCAGGGAGGAAAGACAATAAAGGTGAAAAACCAGGATGGCAGCCGCTGCTCAGGAGGTGAGTTCACAGACTCGGAGGAGAGGCCTGGGTGGCCTTTCTTTGAGGCCAGGTTGTGGGGGTGGAGAGATTAAAGTAGAGCAGGTTCCAGAGGGATCCAAGAACCTGGGAGGTGGCATCCTGTCTACATGTTCCTTGGGCCACCCCAGACCTTCCAGAGCCCAGAGAGGCAGAGGAAAAGGGACCATAAGGGGACTGAGCAGGCAGGGAGTCTCAGGATCAGCTACTTTCTTTCCTTCTCCGCCAATACCACCCTTTGCAAGTCACCAGAAATTTCCTCTGAGTGTGTGGGAGGCTCTTTCCACTCAGACATACTCTCATGGGTGCCCTTCCATAGGCCCCCTCTGAACCCCAACCCCTTCCTATAAGTGGCTTCTCTATACCAAACATGCCTTTCTTTCCTGGATATCTTATGTCCCCTGTCCTCCACAAATCTCCTTTTTCTATCCTGCAGCCCAAACCCTAGGCAGGAAGGGGACCCCCAAATTCCTGACCCATCCACCAAGGCCCCAAATCTGGGCCAGAATCCAGACCCCATGGTGGTGAGGCTCTTTGTTTTCCTGCAGCCTCAATCCATCCCTTCCTTTTTTAAACTGGAATTTGTCTCATTTAAAAAAAAAAAAAAAAAAGGGAGGCAGGAGCTTCAGAAATTCAAGCTCTTTTTTTCTGGAGAATATGGAAGAAACAGAGGAAGTGGGGAAGAAATCAACCGATACTTAATTTCCAGAGAAGGCAAGGTGGGTATTGAATAAGGGGCACACCAACCTCATTTCTCTCATTCTTCCCCCTAGCCTGGTATTCCAGCTACACTCAGCCCCCAAGTGTGTGCCTCAAACTTGCACCATCTTGCTGCAAATGCTGTGAACTTACACCTCTGGTTTTGCCTTTAATATACTGGGCATTCTACCCCACAACTTCGGAAAGACACAGGCATCTGTCTCTTCTTAGTATTTTCCTGGGGAATGTCTAAGTAGAGGATGAACATATAAATTGTGTTTACAAAGAGTTAAATAGACTCTTTATTTGCATATAGAGGATTTCAGCAGAGGGCTGAGTATCTTCATAAACATATTTGGGCCCAGTCCACAAGTGTATGTGCTGGAACAGTGGATGCAGCCTGCACACAGTTCCAAACCCACAGGCCAAGCATGCACACGCACACCACACACACATGTCCAGTGAGAAGGTACATTGAATATTTCCTTTATATGTTGGAGACTTTGAGAAGAATTTCGGAGTTGAACTTAGTTGGGACCTCAGTCCATAGAGGAAGCTGAGGGCAGAGTGACTCCCGTGATCCTTGAAAATTTCCCTTCATAAAAAGCCCAGAGCAGAGCCAGGGCTTCCGGACTGTGGCAGAGGAGCCAGGTTCCATTTTCCTTTAGTGTGATGAAATTCTCCGTCCTTTCCCCCTCAACAGCAGCACAGCTAGAGACCGAGTAGACACATTCCTTTTAATTTGTCTAGATTTTCTATAAACCTTGTCGGTAGTCAAGCGCCTTCGCCCCATGGGCCTGGCTGGGCAAGGTGTGGCCGAGTGGTGGGGGGTGAGAACGAAGCTGTGGGTTTCAGCGCCTGGCTTTCTAGGGCGGGATCGCCTCCGAGATGTAATTACTACGTTTTCAATGGTGCATATTCTCCTGGAGTGTTTAATTTGGTTTTATTTGTGCCTCAGCGAGATTCACATTTTTTTCGGGGGAGGAGGGAGAAGCGACCCCAGGCTTAAAGTTAATTAACTAACGAGGCTTTACTTTCCGCCGCCCGCTCGCGGGCTCTGGCACTGCCGCCTCCCTCCCTGCTCCAGGAGCGCCCCAGCAGTGGAGCTGACAGTTCCAGACAGGGAAGGTCTTGGAGAACCCAACGAAAGAGTAGGGGATCCTGCAGAGCACGTGGACATATCTCCGGCCTCGTTTAAGCCCTTAGCCCTAAACTTTCCCTTCTAGCTTTCCCTCTCCCCAGAGTCTCTTGGAGAGGAGAGGGCTGTATCTTCTTCAGCTAGTCTTGACAACGGGGACTTTGTCAGCTCTCTCCTTTCATCACTAAATTTTGGCCATATAATGTCCCTAATAAATGGAATTGTAAAATTGCCAGGTTAATTAAAACTATATCTCATTGCAATAGGAATAGTTAATGTCCTTATATAAACCTGGAAAAGAACATACTATTAATTTCATTTATTGCTGGGCAGCCTTACACCCAGATCCTTCCCGCCATTCTGCCCCCTACTCTCAAAGGCTGGGGACAGTGTCTTTGGATTCTGGCTCTCTAAATTGTCATCTGGCTTTGGGCTAGAGCATTCCCAGACCCAGGAAGAAGCCCCAGGTATGGAGTGGGTGTTTCAGGCCCTTTCTCCTGGTGGCGGCCCTACAGGTTCTCTACACAGACTGGCACTTCATAGGAGGGGAAACTATGGCCTGTGCGACTTCTCCATTGTGGGTATAAACTGGTATATGTCTCCACCCACCTACCCCCGCCCCCAGCCAGGCCAGGCAGACGTGGGGTGGGGGGAGGCAGGGGCAAGGTCACAGGACACAGTCTAGACTGCCCTGGCCGTGTTTGCTTTCCTCTTTCACCTTGACCTTGGACTTTGGGGGCCGGGAAGCCAGTTTCCTAGCCAGAAGCTGGCTCCCAGCAATACCCACCTCTCCTTGGGCTTATCCTTCCTTCCACCATCAACACTCTCAAAACATACTCAAGCTAGCCTGCTTCTGTTTCAAACACTTCTGTTGTATTTTTCTTCCTACTGCCAGTCCAGCCCAAAGCCTGCTTTTCGAACTGAACTCTGAGGTGACATTTCCTGATGAAGATCACACGATGATAAGGATTAGTTTCGTATCATAACTCACCCATGCCAGGATGCTCTCCATTGTCAAACACCACCTTCCCCCACAGGAAGGAGGGAGATGGATCTCAGTACAGACCTTGCCATTTGCTTTTAGGGTTGGAGGAGTACAGTGTATCTGGCTTAGTCCTGGGGCTACTGTGAGGTTACAGCCTGCATGCTGTCTGGACAGGAGCGACCAGCATGTAAACTATGTGGCAGAGGCAGGAAAGGGGGAGATGCTGCAGCCCCTCTCCCCTCTTTTTCCTCTCTCTTTATTACCTATTCTCTTCAGGGAGGCCCTGTGCTTTAAAAGAACTTGGCTCTGTTCCATGGAGATGCACCTTGGAAAAAGGTGACTCTGTTGAGGCACCAAATTGGGCATAGGAAGATGGACAAGTCAGGAGATTGAGAGGGAAGAAGAGAGGGGCTTTTTGAAAAATCAGTAAATTGGTATTAATTTGTCCTTTGAAATAAGAGGTAATTTTAAAGCATGAAAACACTCCACACTAAAAAGGAGTGACCCCAAGAAAGACGTGGGAGCTAAAGTTGGGGTTGTCCAGCTGGGAACTGTGTTGACCCGGGCTCTGCCCAGCCCCTTGACCCGCATCTGCACCATAGCCCAGGGTCTCCAGGGCCCGCGGGCGGTGGGCTGAGATCCCTTCTCCTGGGGTCTCCCAGACTCGCGCCTGGGAAAGGTGCCTCCAAAGGGGCAGCGCCACTGACTCTCCCTCATTTTACGTTTCCTTTTTGTACACCGACCCGAGAGCGCGCGTGCTCTTGTTCACATCTAGAGCTTTTAAGCTCTCCTAGACTGAATACTCTCCCCTGTCACCCCTCCAGGTACCTTTTCTTTGAAAAATCTCACTCCGAGGCTTTTAAATTTCTATTGTATATTGAAATATCAGTCTATTCTATTGTCCCCATTTCCCTCCTTTTATTCTCTCTCCGTTTTTCACTGAGAGCATCCACTCTCTGTGTGATGATATGTGTGTTTGGGGACTATTACATCTTCCCAGCACTCTGCTGCTCCCGAGGAAGACCTGCGGGCGAGGAGCCGAGAGAGTCTTTCTCAGAAAACTGGGGCTTTGGGTAAATGGATCAAAGTAGGAAATGGTAACACAATCTTGGCATCAAAGTCTGAGTCGCTGCTGCGCGGCATCGGGTTCTTTCCAGCGGTGAGCTCCAGCGGAGTCTGCCAGGGCCACAGCCGGGGCTCCCCACGCCCTGCCCCCGCTCGCATCTGCCTGCTTTCTAGTTTCTTCATTTAAAAGGAAAAAAATCCGTTTTTTCCCTCACCCTTAGTTCTGAGCCCCAATCCAGCCACAAAGATCGCTTTGTGGGGGCGGATAGAGGGGTGGGTAGGGGGGGTTGTAATCTGTCTCCCACATACTCATCCTAAGCCTGGGGGGCTGCCAGTAATGGTACTCGTCTCTCCAGACCCCTTTGCGTCGGCCAAATTCAGCCTCCCCCTCTTCCCTCTCCCTCCTCGAGGCCTGCCGGGGGCGTTGCCCTGTCCCTTTAAATCTCCCAGCTCCCTCCTCTTTGCCCCTCCTAAGAGCCAATCAGCAAATACCTTTTTTTTCGCCCCGCCCCACTTGGAGGGGTGGGAACCCCAGGAGACTAGGCCCAGGCGCCGCGTTCGCAGGCCCCGTCACGTGGACGCAGGAACAGTGCGGAGGGGAGCCTGGCCCGAGCCCGCGGATTTCTTAATGAACTATCTCCGCATGCGTAGAGGGAATATGGGGAGGGAGGTGGAAGCACCAAGAGGAGGAGGGGAGGGGTGGGGAGTGTAAAGAGGTGGGATGGGGGAGGGGACAAGAGAGCGAGGTGTCTCCCTAGCTCGCTGCCTCTGGCAAGAGGAGTTTTTAAAAAGCTCGAACAGATCATGTCATGACGACTTCGCTGCTCCTGCATCCGCGCTGGCCGGAGAGCCTTATGTACGTCTATGAGGACAGCGCGGCGGAGAGCGGCAGCGGCGGGGGAGGCGGCAGCACGGGCGGAGCGGGGGGCGGCTGCAGCGGAGCGAGCCCCGGCAAAGCCCCAAGCATGGACGGGCTGGGCAGCAGCTGCCCGGCCAGCCACTGCCGCGACCTGCTTCCGCACCCCGTGCTGGGCCGCCCGCCGGCTCCCCTGGGCGCCCCTCAAGGCGCAGTCTACACGGACATCCAGACCCCCGAGGCGGCGCGCCAGTGCGCCCCGCCGCCTGCGCCCCCCACCTCGTCCAGCGCCACACTGGGCTATGGCTACCCGTTCGGTGGCAGCTACTACGGCTGCCGCCTATCGCACAACGTGAACCTGCAGCAAAAGCCTTGCGCCTACCACCCGGGCGATAAGTACCCGGAGCCGTCCGGCACCCTGCCCGGCGACGACCTGTCCTCCAGGGCCAAGGAGTTTGCTTTCTACCCCAGCTTCGCCAGCTCCTACCAGGCGATGCCCGGCTACCTGGACGTGTCGGTGGTGCCTGGGATCAGTGGGCACCCGGAGCCGCGTCACGACGCGCTCATCCCCGTCGAAGGATATCAGCACTGGGCTCTCTCCAACGGCTGGGACAGTCAGGTGTACTGCTCCAAGGAGCAGTCGCAGTCCGCCCACCTCTGGAAGTCTCCCTTTCCAGGTAAGGAAGGGGCCCGAGCGCCGCTGCCGCCGCCAGGGACCCCTCCCATACCCGCCTGCCCCGGGGCTCCGCGCCCCAGCCACCCCCGCCGTCTGGCCCCGGCGCGCCGGCTCTGCTGGGCTGCCGATGGAGCCGGCCGGGCGAGCTGCTCTGAGGAATGCGCCGGGGAAGAAATCTGCTCCGACACGTTCCCCGAAGCTGCCCGCCTGAGAGTGAAGCAATCATAGGCGCCCGAGCGCCGGGCCACGGGCTGAGTTCGAGTCGGTAGCTTGCCTCCTCCTCCCCCAGCCAGCTCAGGTCTCACGCACCGCTCTCGGTCCCGAAGCCCGCTTGCGGCCAGGAAAGGGGTTAGGGTGGGCCTTCGGGTGCCTTGGAATCCACAACCACCAGCACAAAACCCTCAATTCACCGAATAACTGGTGGGGGGGGGGTGATAAGAACCCCCAAACATTTTCTTTGCCTGAATTTCCAAGATTGTTCAGGCACTAGATGATTTTTAAAAATAGGGGACTAATTTGCTGGGGTCTACAGAAATTTAGGATGTTTCCTTTTTTATTTAATTTATTTTTAAACTTTGGCCACGAATTTCCCAATTGTTAAAGGGGCAGGGAGCGAAAATCTCCCGAGAGGATGTAGAGAGAAGGGAGTTTGCATCCCCTGCCCGGGATATAAATTTTATTTTCCTCTCTGGTATACTGAACTCAAATTCTATGGGTGTTCCCTCTGCCCACTCCCCCAAATGCAGGGGATAAAGAAAGTTATTTGTGCCTCAGACACATAAACTGGGGAATAAAGATGAGAGGTGGAGGGGAGGAAGACCTGTTCTGGAGGGTTCTGGGGTCCAGGCCCAGGCTGGACACCCCTGGATTTTGTCTGGCTGTGTATGGAGGTGGGTGAGCGGAATTCCCCAATGTCCTGTTTCTTCTCCAACTGAAGCTATCTCTGAACTGGAAGGGATCCTGCAACCCCCACCTCTCCCTGGGGGGAAAAGACCAGTCCCAGGTTTCTCAAAACCACATCAGAAGCTTTGAATTCAGCACTGTGCTGAGAAATCAGGATTTGGGGGTCTAACAAATCCAGAGCTTGAGTCTGCTCTGGCTGTACGCAGAGCTCAGTGGGAGAGGGCTGACTTCTTTCTGATGCCCATGGGGATTTGTGGTGGTGGGGGGGGGGTGTCCCAGAGCAGCCACATACTGCTCCAGCTCTGCATGTGGGCCCAGGGACATTTTCTTTGGGAAATATAGACCTGAAGACTTCTTAAGGGTGTGCCTGAAATTCCTCTGCATCCGGGATTGGGGCAAGGGCAGATGGTGAAAAAAATTGCTGAATGATGTTAGAAAGTGTAGCAAATAACATTGTTGTAAATATTATGAGATTATTCAGTATAACACAACTATATACGTAGGTGGGACCCACACTAGACACCCCATTTCTGGCTGCCAGAAGATTTAAAGATGATAGACTTTTAGTATATGGTATCATGCATTATCTGCTCTGCATTGGCTATAATATTTTTATATAATATGATTTATGTTATTAACTGCCTAATATGAAACACATAGTAATACATTTCCAGAATATAGGCAATTCATATATATACATATATATATATGTATATATGTGTATATATATGTATGTGTGTGTATATATATGTATATATATGTATATATATGTATGTGTATATATATACACACACACAATAATATATTATAGAGAGATGGCCCTTTAATTCCCCATCTCACCCAAACGGAAAGCTTCTTAGGAGTTGGGGGCCTAGCAGGAATTCCTGGAGCAGGGGGAGCCGATAGGCCATGCTAAAGGGCTGAAGGGTAGGGGAGTAGATGCCCACCAGGCCCAGTGTGGGCAGAGGTGCAGATCTAGAGCAATGGGCAATGTGGATTTACCATGAAGAAGGGAAATGAAGGAGCTGCTTTGGCATCCCTGTGTATGCATGTGGAGCGGGTTGGGGGTTGAAGGATTGGAGAAAAGCTCAGAAATATTTTTGAGCAAAATAAACATTTTAAAGATTCTTAGGGAAAAAACTTGCTAAAAAAACACTTTTTGATCACAGCCTCCTAGAGAAAAATACTGTTGAAATTAAAAATACAGCCAACTGAGGTATCATACACTTGCAAATTATGGCATAGAAATGGATATAAAACCCAATGTGTCTCAGCAGACTATGTGCTCACACACTTCCTGTGTGGAAATAGAATCGAGCTGGTGCATCTCAGTGAGTGCAGAGGTCCAGGCAAAAGGTAGATGAAAAAGAAATGATCTTCAGACACCTTCCATCTCTACCCACACAGAAATCTTTTAGAAGTAGTGAGATTTCCAGATAACTCTGTATATGCAATTGTGGTTTGTTCTGCAGCATCTAGGCATAAACACTACTGTCTCTCTTCAGTGCCTCTGGCTCTGAGCAACCTCATCTATGGCAGTCTGGGCTGGTGTGGGATGAAGCAATTGTTCAGAAAGATTCAGATAATTAAGGCCAAGATATGTTGTGGTTTCTTCCTTTGCCCAATATACAGACCCTTGCTTCATTGCTCTTTTTTTTCTTCCTATGGTGAATGTAGACACTTTTTTTTTTTTTTTTTTTTACCGAGAGAAGCAGAAATCCAAGAGAATCAGCAAAGAAGGGGGCTAGGAGAGACAGAGACAGATAATAACAGACAGGATTGGGGGAGAAAGCAAAAGAGAAAGAAATAGTGGGTTCTTTGGGCCAAACTAGAAGTACCTATTGACAAACTTTTGGATGGTGGTTAAGTAGAACAGTTAGGATTTCTAGTTGGGCAGAGTCCTCTTCAGATCCCTGTTGTAGCAGAGGGTGGTCAAGAGTGAGTGGGCAGTAGGAACCTGTACAAAGAGCCCCAAGCTATGACTGAGCATTGATCTGATTTTTATTTGCTCCTCAAAGGTGTCTATTAGGTTCCTAGATATAAGTGGTTTGTGTGCATGTGTGCTCTAGAGGGAGATTAGGGAAGGGTTGATTGTAAAATTAACAGCTAAGTCCCCTACTTACTCTAGGCAGTATGGACACAACTCCAGGTCTAAGCTTCCAGATGTTTCCGCATCTGTAGATCCCACTTTCTTTTCAGATAAGACAGTGGACAATGAAGCGGGGCTTCTTTGAGAAGGCAAGACGGAAGGTATTTCTCCAGGAAGGGAAAAAAAAAAAACCCACAGCAGTTTGATCCAAACTATGAAAAACTTGGCCGAATCAATCCTTGGCATTCTACAGAGGAAAATAACCAGTTTAGATCAATCCTTTTTTTAATTGATTTTTTAGGGTTATGTCGATTAAACCTCATTGGAAATTTAGAGTTGGGGTTTAGGGGGACCTAAAATTGGGTAAGTAATTTTGAGCATTTCCAGAAAATGAAGTAAAAAAAAACAAAAACAAAAACATGGACAATTATCTGGTTAATTCAGGAATCAAATCCCACTTTAATTCCATTTTACTCTCCCGGGAAAAGGAGGTTGTTTAAAGCTGGATTGTACCAAGTGGATTATTTCTATTTTAGAACTTACTATGTCATTGAGTCAGAAAATCTGGATTTAAAATCTAGCTCTGCCACTTAAATTATTTTACCTACTCAGACCCTCAGGTTTTTCATCTTGTAAGTAGGCTTAATAAAATGAGCCTGAAAATATCGTTCTGAAGATTAAAACAAAAATGTTAAACACAGTGTTCTCATAGTATCATTACTTACCTTCTCTGTTTTATTCTTATTCCATAATCATCATTTCCTGAATTATAATTACATCTGTAATAGTAAAACAAATTTGAGAACTGAGAGGATTTTTAAAAATTATCTTTACCAAAAAATCATTTTTAACCTAAAAGATCTGCTTTGTTAAAGTGAAGTCATTTTGTTTTTCAGATTTTAAAAAAACCTTGGCCTATTCCTACATAGGCAGAGCAAAGTGACAAGTCCAACAATTTTTCTGAGAAATTGTCATCATGAAGACAGCCAAACCAAGCCATTGGAACCCCGTCTCTCCCGTATTCTTCCTAAGCACTTTATTTTCCCCCTGCATTTGATTGTGACCTCTTCTCTCCCCATCCTGTATAGATAAGAGTCCCTGGGAGAGAGCAGACCCATTAGGACTGGGAGTAGGGAAGGTGTTTTATGAGGGTAGGATGAGAACAAGCATTTCAGGAAGAGCTTTGTGTCTTCATTCTGCACTGTCTACACTTCCAAAGGGCAGTAAGAATGAAGGGGAAACCCCAAATATTCAGTCTTCCTCATTAGCTTCTGCCTGAAGAAGTCTAATAATTACATTTTAAAAATCAATGAGCGAGTTCAGATAATGTCCCCAGTTCCCTACTTCCCCTTGAAAGGGTTGCTATGACCTTTTTATTGACAGAGGTGAGGGTGGAGTGGAAGGGGGATATAAATGACATTTATTGTTTTTAGTTCCTGTGAAATTTTCAGACTATAAAGAAATTCAACTACTAATGGTTAAGACCACAAGGTATTTAGGATTCAGGGTTAGGGTTCCTGCATGAGATGAAGACAGTTTCCTTCAGCCTTGGAGTAATGGAGAGGAGAGGGGGTTGGAGCAGAATTTGCTTTGTTTTGGTGAGTGGACATTTGTGGGGTCCAGGGGGACACTGAGTTCTCTTTATAGAAGACTTATGTGAACAGCTCACTTTACCCCAAGATGGGCTCTTCTGGTACCTCCTCTGGTGAGCAGATTCTGGGGCATGGACCCTCTACTTCTAGGGACCCGATTCTCTACATCTCAGGATCAAGACCTTCCATTTTGGGTGTAAAGTGGCTCACAACATTGGAGTCTTAGAGTGATTGGCTCCCAAGCAGTCTAGCTTCACCTGGACAATTTTCCTCTATCTGTTGATACAGGCCTCTGATTCCTAGTGCAGAGCCAGTGACCAAATGCATGAACCATGGCTTGGTGGTCTGTGCCCACTGCAGCTGTCTCCCTACCTGCCATGTCCTCCCTCTTTCTCATACTGGGGCAGAGTATAAGCTGGTGGATGCCCAAAGGATCTTGAGTGCAGGAAGAATACCTGTAATCCTGCAAGCCAGAAGACCAGAGTCTGCTGAAATTTACAGGGACCCCACTAAGGGCACAATGATTCTAATAATGAGTGCTTGTGTGGAGTCATATTTGAGCCTGAGGCAAAAGGAAAAATCAGTAATGCTGGTCCCATGTTTATTTAAAATGTTGATATTTTGTTCATGGATTTTTTTTTTTTTTTGCATTCACTTTGATTTTTTAAACATTGTATTAAAGTATTATTTATCTTGATTACTGAATTTTTGGCACCCCCTTCCTTTAAAGTTTTCACCTGAGGCAATTCACCAGCGGCCTCACCTTAGTCGTAGCCTTGCTAATAACAGATGCAAAGGATTTGACAGCAAGCCGCCGGCCCCCTTTGAGTCCCTGCCGGAAATTCGTGCCTCCCCAGCTGCGCAGCCTCGGTCCTCCTAGCCAGGTCCGGGGTCCAGCCGCGTCTCACTTGATGCCACCCGCCTGCTTTCTCCCTTCCAGACGTGGTTCCCCTACAGCCGGAGGTGAGCAGCTACCGGCGCGGGCGCAAGAAACGCGTACCCTACACCAAGGTGCAGCTGAAGGAGCTAGAGAAGGAGTACGCAGCCAGCAAGTTCATTACCAAAGAGAAGCGTCGGCGCATCTCCGCCACCACGAACCTCTCGGAGCGCCAGGTCACTATCTGGTTCCAGAATCGGCGGGTTAAAGAGAAGAAGGTGGTCAGCAAATCGAAAGCGCCTCATCTCCACTCCACCTGACCGCCCACCCAGCCGCCTTTCCCGTCTATTTATGTCGCCGCTTTGTACCATAACCCAACCCACGAAGGACGCTTAGGCGGTGCAGGCGAATATTTAATGTTAACAACTTAATGGAACCGTGCCGCTGGGAGGCAAAGACGACCAGAGGGTGTGCTCTGTCGCTCCCTACTCCCCATCCCATCCTCAACCCCCACCCCTATCCAGATGGGACCTACCAAGTCTCAACAGCTTTGGATGCCGGTCTGGGTGGGCTATGACAGCGAGGCTGCCGCACCCCACTCTCCCTTGCCCTCACCCCTCTCCTTGCCAGATAGCCAGAAGGGCAGTGAAGAGCCAGAACATTCCAACCGAAGCAAGTCTGGGGAACTCCCAATGACCCCATTCTAGTATCCTTCTTTACCTAGGCAGGTAAAGGACCCTCCTGGGGTTGCGGCCATGGCGCAGGATATGGCGAGTTCATACTTTCCTTTCAGTTCCTCTCCCTGGTCCTTGTCTCTCTTGCACTCTTTAGTTAGTCAAGATCTCCCAGTTAAGATTTCTGTACATATTTTAAAAGTCGTGTTAATATTAATAATAATTATTAGGGATCTGGCATTATGGTTGGAGTACAGACAGTGCATAGATTT